CACGAGGTTTTCAAAGGAAACATGTGGCTGCAGCCTAAAGTATTGAAGCTGCTGCCCAACCTCATACCCAAATCCACTATCACTTGTGAACTTGGTGAAGCTGTTCTGCAATCAACTGGCAAAGCAAACGGGGATATGGTTGTGCAATGTGTGTCAACCAACGCCCACAGCCGTCCTGTCCGGACAGGGTGAGATGCCGCTCGCCTGTAAATTGGCATCGGCCTTGCTTTGTGCTGCACTGTTTGATGCAAAGAGCCAAAGTGGGGAAGTTCCATTCAAGCAACCCGGTAGCTTTTCGCCAGGGAGTGCCAAAACAGCAAAAATGAGTCTCATGCAAGCGGGCTCCAAAATCAATCAAAGCTCTAGCCTGCGGTGTTAACCACAAGCGTTAGGAGAAAGGGTTCTCTAATACCCACGCTAGGTTCAGGTGGCAAGCAAGATCGATGAAAAATTTCGAGACCTCTAAAAGCTGGTTGCCTAAAAGAACTTTGGATTGATCTGAAGGGCGGAGGTCGGAAAAAACCCACAGGTGGACATCATCGTCCCGCAAGGGTCGGGGCCCGCCATCAAATCTCCTAGCTCGGGACCATGAAGTGCACGGTGTCCCAAGCCAAATCAGGGCTATCTTGTTTCTATGTCGCTTGATGAAGCGCACCAACTCTCTCTGAACCCCGCGGTCAAGCAGGTCACAGCCATGTCCATAGTCTATGTCATAGGCAATGGCGGTGAATGCAAGTGCTACCATAGCAGGCGACAAACGTGCGCACCCTGAAAAAAGTTCTATCACAATTTTTTCATTGGCTACCGTTTTGTCTGGGTGGGTGAAAAATCTTGGGCTCAGTTTTCTCATCTGCTCCTCGAGCTTCATGACTAGCTTTTGTGTCGCCTGTGGAAGGCGATGGAATTCCTGGTTTAGTCGACCATGTTGTTCGTAACGACGAAGGCTTGAATCTGCGGCCCAGCGTCCCCGTGCCTTGATCTCCAGAAGCGACCGAAGACGATGGCAGCGATCGTAAGACGGACCTGAGTGCCTTATAGTTGGTGCAGGACTGCGTGGTTGTGTTCCAGTCCTAGATCCACCAAGGCTTGTTTCCAAGCTGAGACCATCTCTGCGTGTCCCAGCTCGAAAAGAAATGGCCCGTCCGTCTGAAGCTGTTCCAACGCTTGACCCAACCAAAGGAGCTGCACTGAATCCAGCTGAATCGACTCTTCCGAGATCCCAACTTTTGAGGCCTCGTGTCTCTCGGCAGGGTGCAGGTGGAGCGTGTGGTGCTCCTGTCTTGGCATAGGTCTTACCAGGTCTGTCTTCTGGATCCCCAGGCATTCTCCCGGCCTCAGGTAGGCCGAAAACATGGTCAACACCGCCAAGGCCGCATGGTGCCGCGTTCGTGCCTGCATCTTCATTGCAATGCCGGCGACCAACTCCCAAGGCAGAGGTGGTCTGGTCTTCTGAGGATCGATCTTTGTCCAGCCCTGAAGTGCTCTGATCATTCGAGGCAGTGCTGACTTGTGGCCAAAGTCTGGGAACGCGTCTTTGACCGCCGCCACAAACTTTGAGCCCTCGTGGAGCTCTACGCCCTGCTCGAAGATGTTGTTCAGAAACAAGGTGCAGGCCTCGTCCAAGTTCTTCGCACTTCGAAGGGAAATCTTGCTCTGTCGTGCAAAGAATCTCAGATCGTTGGTCCTTCTGGTGTAGTCTTTCGCCACTGCTTCCGACACTGCTACTCGCTCCAGGTTTGTCTGTCCCTTGAAGCGAGGAGGATCGGATCTCTGTCTCGCTATCTCTGCTCGAGTCTTGGCCTTGTCGGCCGGCCTCCTTCCTGCCTGGCACTGCTAGCAGCTTGTCGAAGGTCTGGTTTGCCAGCTCCGGTTGGGTAGCAAACTGAGTCAACCCTTTCGAGCTGGATCTTCTCCCAGGCTCGGCCAGCAACATCTCTCTTTCTTTGCGATTCCCACCGCCGCGAACCTTTGTCGGCCACGTTCAACTCAGAGGGAATCCAACGAGGTGAAAGCATGGAATCGGCACATAGCAAAAGAGCACAGAGGCGCCTACACAACTTCAACATGGAAAAAGAGCTCGAGCGTCCCTTGGCGATCATGAGGATCATGCCCATGTTATCTCCGAGATGCAAGTGTCTCTTTCCAAACTGCTGCACGGCTCTAAATTTGTGTCTCAAAGAAATCACAACACCTCTGGTTTCCAGCAATGTAATGTGTTCCGGATGTTTCATGTGTACGGCAAACACCTCCTGCCACAACTCAGGCTGCAAGACGTTTTGGGGCACCTCAACGAACTTCTCTTTCAACTCGAAAGGATCGGGTTGTTCAAGTTCTTGTTTCAGGGGTTTCACAGTGGAAGGGTCTGAGAAGGGGTCACCAAAGTTCAAAGCAGCTTCACGAGGTGGAGGCAGCTCTTTGTACTTGTATCGCCAGGGCTCACGTTGTGATCCTATCGCGGCTACCTCATCTCGAGGGCGCACCTGACAAAGAAGCATCGCTTGCGGTAACCCGCCCACTCCAGTCCTTCCTCAAATCTACACTGCAAAGACCCAAAAGAGCTGATGCCCACTTAGCTTCTCTTGCAGCAGAGGCAAAAAGTGGTCGTTTTTTCGAATAGCTCTTGTGCACAAAGTCGTACATGGCTCTGAAGATCGACAGGAGTTCTCTACGTAGGAGCATGAAATGAACACAATGTCCGATGAGCCGCTCGACCTTTTTCCCCGTCACCCAGGGCTGCCTCGCCAGCCAGTCAAGCGCCAATCTGACCTTGTGCAGCCTCTCCGGAATGGGCGCCACCACACCTTTGGCGCCATCGACGAGGAAGCCGAGGCTTTGTCCAATGCTACATGCTTCCAACTCTTCATGCACTCGAAAACCGATCTCACGAAGCCTATCGACGATCTTGTTCTTAACCTGCTGAACACGTTGTTCGTCAATACCTGCCACATTCAAATTGTCAGCGTACGGAATGATGATCACCTCACCATCTGACAAATCTGGGGGCGCCTTGCTCTCCATGATCACGCGATCCAGACTAAGGCCTCCTCCATGCACAGATGCGTGTGGACCCTTTGTGCCACCCACATAGCCGAACTCCAACCCATCGGAACTACCCTCAACAGCGGGAACCTCCAGCCTTCGGCGTCGCAGTCCACCTGATCAAAATCCAAGCCCCAGTCCTGCATGGCGGACTTGGCGATAGCAGGCAAACAGAAGAGGCTCTGTAGTTCATGAGGTAGAGCTAAACTATAAAAGTAGTCCTTGATGTCGGATTGGGCCAGATAGAGTGTAGAGCCCTCCGGGATGCACACCTGCGCCCAAGAAGTTCCGGCTCCAAGTGCCAGAGGCGGAGGTTTTTTGAACCGCGTGTTCACTGCTCTGCAATCCAAAATCAACCTCAAACGTCCATTCTTCTTCTTCACAAAAAATGGTGGCGCTATCTCCGGGGCCTCGAGGTGAAAGATATCATTCCCTTCGCATGTAGGTCCTGAATGAACGAGGTATATAGCTGTTGATCATGCTGCAATCTCACATCCATATAAGGCCTAACCAAATCACCCTTCTCCAGCACTTCACCCCACTCCTCATCCGAAAGGGGCATAGTCCGCAGGGGATCACCAAGAACTTGTCGTCCATGCTCATCCAAAACCTGGTCCAACGATACGGGATCGTCGCCGGTCTCTGGGAGGGATATCAAGTCTCGCTGATAGGGGCGCACTGTGCTGACAAAATCCTCCTGAGAGTAGGAGGAGTCGCATTGCAGTGGAGGAGCCCTAGGCAGTGGAAAAAGCTCTCGCAGCCGATCTTCACGAAAGGACGGGTTGAGCCCACGGCCATAACCATCAAATTCTTCGGCAGGACATGCCGAATCAGCGCCGCCCATGCCACTCATCATTTCTGATCTCCGCCGCCTCCCCCCTTCTTGTCACCGGGGTTTCGGCGGCGCGCTTGCGCTTCTTCCTTTGCCTTGCGGCTCTCCTTGAGGATCATTGCTTCCGACTTCAACTCCGCAGCAACGTGATGTGCCAGGTCGGGATCAACCCCATGTGCGCCCTTCCGATACTTCCAGCCCATGAAGAACTCTGCCGAACTGTAATCTGGGCTGGATGGCAAGATCCGATGGGCCTCTCGAATCACCTGCAGTCGTCGAACCAGCAACTCAATCCCCTGCAAGCCGCTGACGTTGAGCTGATCAATGGTCACAATCGATTCGAGGATGCGTGACAGCACCTCATGCTCGTAGATCGACCGGTCACCCCTTGGGATCTCAGCACTTCGCAACCAAAATTCGTGAAATGATGTAGGAGTCATAGATTGGTCACGAAGGGACTTGAGCACATTCAATGCAGTCGCCGGACCCTCTAGTTGAAGACCGCCTCCTTGGGGTGTTCCCTCAACCATTGCAGCGACCGCCTGGGCAAATTCCCTTCGCCTCACCCCCTGAGCATCAAAGGTGACGGGAAGAATCCGGAGGTCCTCGAGCTTGTAGCCTGCAGCATCGTCAACACGAACCTTCTTTGCAAAACAAGCCACTGCTGAACCATCTTTTGCTGGGACCAAAGCTTTCTCCCCAATCAACACATGACCTGGTGGCAAAACTCCGGGATCGGCGACCACGATCTCCCCCCGACTGTAACCTCCAGCCGTCTCAACACACACCCAACACATTCCGACCACTCCGGCTGGAGCAACTGCTGCTCCTCCCCCAGCGGGTGCTGCCACAGCTGCTGCCCCTCCACCCACTAGCACCCCAGGCAATGGGGCGACTGCCGGCGGAGGTGGAGCGACAACAGCTGGTCCCGCACCCATGGGAGCCATAGGAGGAAGTCCTCTGTTCAACCGTTCAGCATTGGCCTCAAGCCGTCCTTGATGAATGTGGTTGGCCAGGGTGGCTGGATCCATAGGGGCGAATCCGTAAATCTCATGAGCGGGCACACGAGGAGGTACGGTGGTGCTTGCTCCGAGATAGATGAAATCTGCAAAGTCGGGGTTGAGGTGATCAAGCTGCTCACTGTATCTGTCGTAGTCTGGCGTAAGGATCTGCCATTCGTTGCCTTGGATGTGTCCAAGGAGGATACGAACGTGCCAGGTGCTTGGCACTTCGCCATAATGAACGAGCACAAGATAACCACTTTCCATCTTAGCCGGTCAGACTCCCCACGTCCCCTTTCTGCCTTTTGGGCTTCCGGCAGGCTGGATGTCCTTCTTGGAATACCAAATCCAAATGCCGCCACCAATGCACAACGCTAGCAGGACCAAAAGTGCAATCCAGGAGGACGGTCCTCCCTCACTCACGCAGGCACAGCGACAGTGGCACTGACAGGGGCGATCGTCTTGCGGCCTCTCAGTCAGCACCCTAGCGAACCACCCCAGAGCCACAGCCCACAAGTGAGTGGGGAGCGCTCCAGGGTCCATGGCAAGCCTACCTCACCTGAGATCGTTCTTGAGCGTTGATGCAACGGCCCAAGTCGCTACCACTTCACATTAAAGTGCGAGCACAAGACATATATCATAATTACTATTACTATTGCCCAGACGCTCCAAACAGCCCTTGGTCCCTCAAAACCAGGGATCTGCGACCCCATACTCTCCAAAGGATTCGGGTCCAGGTTCAAGGAAGCTCCCCCCCGCCCTCAGGCGGCGGGAGCTTCCTTGAAGAAGCCTGAGCTATCCTGCATCCATATTGTGTAGTAGCGTCCTAGTAGCTAGCAGCGAACTTCTGGCTTACTTGATTAAGTAGGCGTCTACTTCATTAAGTAGGAGCCTAAAAGCGGTCGAAAGTGCGAACAGCTGCCGTTCCTCAACCATCCCACCCGAAAGAAGGGTGGGGGGCCGGTGGAACCCGCGGTCCTTTCCTCACGTCCGACCACCACCCAACCTCCTGACTGCGGCCCAAGACTCCGTACTCCACGCCGCAGAGGCTGGTCATCGCCGCGCTGATGACGTCCGGGAAGAGCGCGTCGCTGAAGATCGTGGCGTCCTCGATGACGCCGTGCACCTCGACCGAGGGAGGGCGGCCCGCCGGCCCGGTGGCCGGGCGAGGCGGCGATGTGCGGGGTCGTTCGGGACGACATGTATTCAACTTGGATGCTCTCTAAGGCTTGAAGCTGGCAAGCACAGTTGATGGAGAAGAAAAGATGTGGAAAAGGCGGTGAGATCACCAGAAACATCATGAACATAGCATTCAGATGCATCCACACTGTAATTGAAAAGAAGTCGATGTGCACCAAAACTTGCCTATCCCATCCTCAGAATTTTCTAGAGAATACGGCTACAACCGTAACTATCCCTGAACCATCCTCTGGATTCCTTTCGTCTCCTTTTCACCAAGTCTGCTCTCCCTTCCTCCCCCCCTTCTCTTCCTCTCCGGTCCTTCCCGGGCCGCGAGCTCGGCGGTCTCCCGGTCGTCTCGACCCCACCGGTCGAGTCGTCCGCCGAGGAGCCACTTTCAGGTGCACGTCGAAGACGCCGACGCCATCGATGCGCGTCTCGAACCTCGGTCGTCGCCATGACGGTGACGGGGGGGGTCGAGACGACGGGGGGGGACCGGGGGGTCCGAGTGAAAGCCTCTCTCGGAAGGCCAGCGGTGGCGAGACCTGAAGAAGGATTGAACAAAAACAACACGAGACACCCAGAAGTGTCAATGGAATTCCATTAGGTGAAGTAAAAAAACTGTTGGTTGCCACCTGTGCATGCCTGCACAGCTTGTCCTGAACCACCTTCGAACAATAACGAATTCAATACCTTCAATGACCGAGAAAATGCACTTGACAAACCAATCGCTACTAGGGGCTCCTGGCATTGCTACTAGGAGCGATCGGATGCTTCTAGGGGCTCCTGGCCTTACTACTAGGAGCAAGAAGCTGCTAGTAACAAAGGGCATCGCTACTAGTAACAAGAAGCAACCAATGACCAATCTCACAAAATCTGCAATGCACTTGGCATTTGCAGGAGTCCTTCTAGATCGCATGCAGAATCCAAGAAGGAAAATAAATCTAATGCTGCCCTCGGGGCTGGTGCGAGAACTCTGGAGTCTTGCCTCAGCCGACAGTTGGAAGGTCTCAACTCTCAGTTTCGAAGGTGCTGAAAGCCATGTGATTCGGATGAGGATGTCTTCCGGATTGTCTGCAAACATCTCCAAACTGATATCGATGGTAGACAAGTAAGTGGATGTTCCTTCCACCATAAACGCGGAAGATCTCAAGTTGCATGCTATTCAGGTCTTCACCACACGTGACCACATTGAGAAAACACATGCAACCTTGACCGCGCAGCGTGCCGACATGTGAAGAAGACATGCATGAGCATGTAGCACTGGTACGTTCAAAAGGTTTCTTACGCCGAGCACATCTCGCACATCTGGGCGGCCAAATCTCCATGACTTGTCCCCGAGCTCTGCCATCAAGTCCTTGCGATCTGAAAACTCGTGCAACTAACAGAAGAAACAAGCAAGTCTTGCAGCAAGAAACATGAATCACATAAACTGATCTCACACGACACCCTTCGATTTCCTCAGCCGTAACCCTCCAAACCGGGTAGTAAACATGTACAAAAACAACGCCTCAAGGCAGGCGATCGTCGCTGACACGGTGAGGTCACGGTTTCGGCGATGCTCGGTGATGCTCGCACTCGGTCTGTCGCATCGGTCGAATCGTGGACCGGGTCGTAACATGAAACGGAACGAATCTGAACAACATCTTCCCAGTTCCTCAAGTCACTCAGAGAAACTGGTCTCAATTTGATATTCTCTTATATAGTAGGTACCCAAGCAACAAGAAGGAACCATCCCATGTCCCCCAAAATATCTTCGCTCCTGGAAGGCCTTGGCCTGTGCCAACTCCGATTGCTCGCTGATCTCCTCCACCCTCAGATGACATGAGGAACGAGGGCAGACGGAGCGAGTCCCAGGACGTCGCACGAAGTTCATCAAAGCATATCAAAAACATCACCAGCCAAATACTTGGATCAGAACTGAACCAGAAAATCCCTGAGATTTTCTGACCATGTTGACCTGTCATACAGCTTTGATCCAGGCCTGTAACCCATTTAGATGGCAATTATGCATAAATCCAGTACATGTGGAAATACGTGGAACTATGCGGCCAGTCCGACTGTGGCCTCGACATCGGTTCATAAAATGGCCATGACATCCACAAACCTATCGGTTCAGGAAAGACACCTATAAAGACACTTCTGGATCATCGGGGCCCCCCCTCAGATGCAGCATAGCATCGGGCCACTGGCACCCTCGCGGTCCCGGAACTCCTGCCACGTGCGTGCGCAACTCCGCGCGCGTTCACCGGGATGCCAACGAGAGAATCACCGGGGGCAAAGAGGGTTGGACGGTGTCTACCATGGTATGCATGGGATGACCAGGAAGAGATTGACCACCAAACTGTTGACAAATGTTGAATGTAATTCCCATCCAGGATCAATGTCGATCCCTCGCATCTGTGTTGGCATCTCTGATCACTGTTTGGTGGATCTGTTGGTCATCCAGATTTAAAACGCATGGCCCATGCCCCTGATTGAGGAATCTGCTGTTTACGCCATTTTATGATATTCACCGACACCCACATACAGTAGTGCCCCTGTCGCCCACCAGCCATTCAAGCGGTCAGAAACTATTGCTCGCGGTCGGCGCCTCGGTGAGGGCGTCGCACAAGTCTTGGTGCGTCAGGGAGGGGAAAGCCTCCCGGAGGTTCATCACCTTGGGCAGCTGGCAATCTACAAGGACTTCAGGGAGTCATACTGTAGAGGGACTCCAACTTGCAGGTGAAAACATGCAAGGAAGGACTTCATCAGGTCGGCATGCCTCAATTTAATCTTGTCGAAGCCTTCATTCTAAGATTCTGAGATGGGTTCACTATGGTTCACTACTACATTGCGTCAAGTGAGATCAGAGTAATGTGATTAAATCACTCTGAACGGAGCCGCCTGACGCACCAAGCATCAAAGCCTTCCTCAAAACTCAAAACACAAGCGTTGATCTTCCTTGCTAGTTTGGAAAGCCCATGCTCATCGGCACCATCTTCGCCCAGCATCCCTTGCTCCAACACTGGAGATGCCCTTCGCTTGCAACTTCCTCTTGTCGGGCGTCAAGTATCCTCACCACCGGGGGCGACCGAGCGAGGACCGAGCGGAACGTCCGGACTGGTCCGTGCGGCGCAAACTTTCGGGAGCGATGGAACGATCGGTTCGACTCGTTTGGTTCGGCGAACGTCCTGGACTCCTCCTGGACTCCTGCGTTCAAAAAGTGGCTCCCTTTCGACTATGAACCCTTTCCCATTGGGAATCGTTCAAATCGCAAATCTAAAAACCACCGGTTCTAAATGGTGTCTTCTGTGAGGCGAAGGTCACCTCCTCGTTTCTTCCAGCTCACTGAGGGCACTCCATCGGACGCCGGTTTCACAAGCGGACGGCACATACCTGTTCGATGTTTGGGCAGACCTGGTCTGTCCAAATCAGGCGGATATGTCTTGAAGAACATCAGAATAACTCTCGCAGGTTGCATACTTAGTACAGGCAAGATTCTGTTTACAGATGTTGATTTCCTATGATTGCCCCAAGTCGGCTGTGGTTGCTAAATGTGTGAGCTGGATCTACTTGCTCTCCGAACTTCTTGCGAAAAGTCCGAAAAGGCAAAAGAGTCTCGAAAAGCCGAAACGTCTCGCTGCGTGCTGCTTTCATTTCCTTTACCTTCTTGACTTTTTGACTTTTCTCACTTTTTGACTTGTTGAATATGTTTTATGTGTTTTTTGCGTTTTGCTTGGTGTCTTGCAGATAGATCGTCGCTAAAGGATTTAGCAAGCTTAGTCAACTGTGATCAGAGGGTTCTGACTTGTGTAGATTAAATGTCTTCACCAGACCACCAAAAATGAACACAATGAACTACCCTGGTTTGGGGATATGGATGGATGTGGGCTTTGACCCACAGCCATATAACTCCTTTGCACCCCAACCACCCTGCACCAACCAAGCATCGCTGCAGGGCTGTGAGGTCAGTGTCGATCCTCGGTCGCCGTCTGACCCTGCGCATGTCTGGTGCTTTGTTTCAGCGCCCAGTGGCGGTTTCGCTTCAAAAGGGGCGCTGCTCACATGACACCAAAAAGTGTTTGCTGGGTGTAAAACGACACTCGCTATCTAAGTTGCCGCTTGCTAGGGGTGCAGTGTTCGAAGCATCCAAATTAAGGCATTAAGGCTGCAAACCCCGCAGAAGGTGCGCACGACCGACCGCGAAGACGAGGACGTCCGAAAAAGCGCCTGATGAGCGAAGGGTTGCTTCAAGCGATGGCCAGCGCTTCACAGGTGGGTCAAATTCCGGTGGGGTGACAAGTATAGCAAATCAAACAAAACAGTCTTCTTGGTCGAAAACATCAGATTCCTTTCTCACTTCACCCAACGACTAAAAACACCAATCCCACGATCCAAGGATCAGAATGGTGCCATGGTGCAAGGACACTTGCCGATCAGGCGCATGCTTGAAAGCACTTCCCGAAATCTTCTTGCCTCCGATCTTTTGCGCCGTTGGAACGAGTCGTTGGAACGACTTTTGTGTACTCTATAGGACTCCGTCTAGGGTCCCAACCCTCCAAAGGATTCGGGTCCGGGTTGCGTCTGGGCCGGTCCCAAAGTACTGTTTGGCACCGAACGCCGGTCCCAGGCGTGCTCTGTCGATGGGTCGACCTGTCGAGGGGTGCTGTCGATGGGCGTTTCTCTCCCACCACTTCAGCAACATGCTGATTCAAAGTGAAGAGACACACACACCAAAAGACCCGGATTCTATATACTGACTTGCCGGGGTACGTTTGAATCCTTTTGGCCCATAAACCCAGGCCTTGATTGTGCTTCCGTATCAATATCCCAGGTCATGTGACGCAAAAAAGCGACATAGAGGCCAAGAGGATTCGCCTTTGAAAAGGACGCGCCAGTAATTAGAGTCAAAGGCCACCAAACCCACTTCGCCCACAGCTTCGCAGCACCTTTCCTTTCCACTGTCTCTTCTTTCGCGACCCGCGGGTTCTGTGTTTTCGTGACCCAGTCACTTCTTCAAAACCACCACCGCTCCGTCCCCGCTGCCCCGACCGCTCCGTCCAGCGCTCCGTCCGCCTTGGTAGACCAAGTCGTTGCGGCCCTTCTTCTCCGCTGCGACGCCCAGGCGCCGCAAACCGCCCAGCACCGTCTCCAAGTTCCGATCAATGTCGAAGGCCTCGGCCGGCTCCGTCAAAGAGGGCCGACCGGTTGGGGTTGGAACAGGTGGTGGCTGGGGGAAGGGAGAGGGATCCATTCTTTCAAAAAGAGTGAGAGCCTTCTATATAGGTTCCATAGATTTCCATAGCATGTTCTGTGTTCTTTGATGGAAACATCGGATGGGCTCAAACTGCCAGAGCTGCAATCTTCTAACTACCATAGCCAGCACTTTGGAGCTTGTGTTCAAAATACCGATCTGGTTGGGTTGCCGGGATGTACGACTAGGTGCCATTGGTTCCTATCAGCTTCATATATATATATATATAACTTATATATATATATGCTACCACCCCCCCTGTACCCTTGTTGGCAATGTGGAGTCCAGAAGATGGGTGCATTGCATTGCTTTGGGTTGGTGATGTGCAGGTTAACAGATGCTGGAAGAGTAGATGACTGGAGGGCAGCATGGCCAGGAAGGTGAGCATCTTTTTCCCCTGATAATTGTTCAAGCGAGTGCTGAGAGAACATGAACATGGAATTTGGGGTTGATGAGGAAGATTTGCGGAAGCATGAAGGGAGCAATGTACTGCACTCTTTTTCCCTTTGGTGACGATATGCAGACATCTATTTGGACGAACCATTGGACCAAGGTGGCCGAATGGATCCAGAGGTCCTTGCCCCGTAGCCAGAGCACAATTTCACGCGCAAATGCATGCTGCCAACGTGACAAAACGGGTTGATTGCCAGTCTGTCTTTGAGAAACTTCCAGCTGCGATCGATGATTTGTGTGCCCGACTTGACCTGGAGAACCTTTTTGGTGTCAGGCAGTCGATGGCGCTTGAGTTCTACATATTTGGGCGCAATCCACTTGAACTTGCCACCGATTTGACACGTTGCTTCTTATGAACTCTGTCGTGAAGCACGCCAGGGACACGAGTGCAATAACTCTTCGCAGAAGCGGTGTGCAATACGACACGGCGGTCTTGCAGCCACTTCTTGGCGAGCGGTTGCCACTCGACTTTCCGAATGGCACCGGGACCAGGTGCTCGAAGCTGGGCCAAGACTGGGCGCAAACGATGAAGTACCAACGTGTTTGGTCTGCAAAATGCTCGCAGATATATATATATATATAAATTACAAACTAGTGATAAAAGCATGTAAATACCAGTAAAAGTACAAAAAGGGTAGGTACAGGGGGAGTGGTACCATATATATATATATATATTATTATATTACTATATTATATATATAGGCTGTTTCAACGGATCTTCAAGGGTTCCATTGGGACGTGCACCCCAACTCCAGCGGTTTCCCGCGGGAACTCGCGCGACCCAGTTCGCTTCTCCATTCGCCAGCCAACCGCCAGCCCTTCCGCCGAAGCGTCGGCCGAAGGGAAGATGAAGGTGAAAACGCTGCAGCCGGGATCTTGGAACACCGCACCGCCCCCCCGAGCGGCGGCGCACCAAGGCCACTTGGTCGCTCTGCAACTGCTCGAGCACACACTCCTTGAAGGGAAGCTGAGAGTGTGTGATATCCAGAAAGAAGAAAACCAGCAGGAAAGACAGCTTCGGAGGGGCTTGGGACCAATCCAATCCATGACCTAAAATTTGTTGACGTAGATCCAAGATGATCCAAGTAGTCCATCGAAGTGGATCACAGAAGACATGAGACAAGAACATAACAAAAAACATGTTAAACAAAAAAAACAGCTTGCGTTGCCAACGAGGGAGGACCATCCCCCTTCTTCACACGACCAAGCCGACCCCTGTTCACTGCAACTACGCCATGGCGAGATCTCTCGGCGAGCTCTCGGCGCCTTCCAGGGGTTCTGGTGCCGGCCGATGGTGACCACGGGCTGTGGCCGCCAGAGATACAGCAGAGGAGAGGTGATCTTGGCGAAGTTCATCCTGAAGCAACTGGCCGAGCAAAGCCAGCAACCCGTCAGGGTTCTGCGTTTGGAGCTTGAGAAGTGGCAGTGTGGAAATGAAATCGGCATTGACTACAAAAAATGCCATTGGTTGGAATCTTCCAAAGTCAAGTTGATTGCAACCATCCCATTGGAAGTTGCTTGGCAGTTGAAGTACTGAACTTGGAAAGTGAAGCTACACGTCGATACGCCTGGACCCGAAGGCGCCAAGAGGCAAATAGTCTTCCACAGCAAAGTGAAAGATGATGTCCTCACGTGGCGGATCAAATGTTCCCAACGAGATGCCACGGTTGGTGTCCCGAAACCTCTCCGAGCTGGGCGGATGAAGAGAACGAACGGGCTGAACGAACGGCCTGAGCCGAGCCGTTTCGGAACACCCACGAAACCAGCTCGCCTCGTTGGACCGTTGTTCGGATGGGCCAAAACCGAAAAGAACCGAAACCAAGGTTGAAGGAACCTGCAAACTTTGTGCATCGTGAACCCCTCACTTAAAGAAACAAAACACTTTGAACAAAAAACATCAACAAACTGTAAAACTTCTGGGGCACTTGCGCCTTTTTGCTGGTGCGTTTTTAAAGCAAAAGGACACATGGTGCCCGTCTCTGAGCCGATGTCATGTTTTGAGCGAGACCCAGAAGAGAACCACTGTTGGACTCAACTTGAGAATCTAGAATCGGGAAACGGTCTGTAAATGAACCTGATCTAAAGAGCCAATTGTCCAATTCCATACCAGTGGGTCAAGGTGCAAAGAGAAAAGAATTTGATCCAACAATGGTGTCAAAAAGATCAAAAAGGTATATTAGTGTATGTAATTATGTGGACTTACAATCCCCAGCTGAAGGAAGCCTATTTTTGAACATCATGAATTATGGCTCCCACATTAGAACTTCAGGTCACTAGTAGGCCATGCCGTGCCCTTTTCAGCCATCCACTCCCAAACCCCTTCTAACCCCTTGAACACGTCGGCACGTTCTGCCCAGCTTCCGGCACCTCCGACTTCAGGATCCGTGCGCCCGAGCTCCACCGGCGTCCCCGCGCGAACCGCGCGGGGTGCGGGATCCGTGCCGTCACGAGGCGGAAGGCCATGGCGAACCAATGGCAATCTGGGGAGGGGACCCAGATCTTTTTTCGGATAACAACACATGGAAACACTTCAAGGATGCGAAAGGTGTGTTTTGAGTGAGGCGCTAATCTGAGGCCGTCTGTCTTTGTAGAGGATGCTAATCTGTGCGATATACAGTGTAGTGGCCATCCCTTTTTAGGACCCCACCTGAGAGGCTGACAAGTGATGACAAGTGTCTAGCTAAAGGCACAAGTCTAGCAAGGTTACAGAGAACATGTTTGAAGAACTTTGAGCGCCAGTGCCAGAGCAAAACACAAAGTTCAGGGTCTCTTCTTCTCCTTGATCGCATGATAGTAAGGATGTCTGGCCCAAATGTGTTGATCCTCTCTCGCCATGAAAAACATCTCTCGGTTTCCACTTTGCATCACATCGTCGGGTCTGATCACTGCAAAACCCATTGGGTCGGGGTGATTAAAACACCAGGGTGAGGCGTCTGAAAAGAGTTGGATCTTGTCTATGCATCTGACCTATGGGGTGCTTGAATGTTTTCGGTTGGGAGTTTGACTTGTCGATCCCCACACACGTCGCTGGTCTTAAGTTACCAAATCTCTTGCTTCCGATCAGGACTTCGGCACAAGCCTTGCGAGACCTCTCGAGGTCATACGGCTACGGGTGGTCGCCAAACTTGCTTTGGCCAGGCACTTCAAAGTCTCATTCAAGACATTTCAATAAATGTTCAACATACATTGCTTGGATGCTGCAAGGGATTTCCTGTGTCTGGTTGCTCTTTGATTCATCATCAACCATGTGTTTGCCAAAAGATCATCTTCCAGCAGCAAGTAGTCCACATCTTGCAGATTCCATGTGTGGCTCTGGGCCGCAGATGTTTGGAGATTCAAACGATTTACCACCCGCCGCGACCCGCCCCCCCGTTCGATGAACGCAACGTAGCAACCCATTTCTATTATATCGTTTTGGAAGAGACTGTTCCTCCACCCCGTTCGACCAAACTGCCACCAAACCACGATTCAAAGCTCTGTTTGTGGAGGGTGACCTCCCTGCAACTCTCCTGCGAACTTCAACTTGAAATCCGGGCTGTAACTGAACACAGTCGAGGCGTCGTTTCCCTGGTCGCATGTCGCATGTCGCATGTGCTGGTCTCATGTGGGGAGAAGCCCGGAAGCGCTGGCTCTCCGGACAGCCTCTTCCTCATCACTTTCAATGACCTCTTTGGTCACTTCCTCATGCCTGGGCGTTTCGGCCAACGAAAATCCGTGAAACCGTGGGGACGAGGGCCCTAGACCCAAGGGTGACCTCTTCGGAATGAATAAGGAAAAAGAGATGGTTTGGAAGGCGGCTACATCTTCGGAGGCGAAGATGAGGAGGATTATACTCAGCAGTAACAAGTGCCACGCTAGTAGTAACAAGTGCCTTACTAGTAGTAACAAGAAGCCATTAATTTAAATTGATGATATGTGTTTCAACCTGCTGTTGGCGACGCAGGTGTCTACATCTCCTGACGGGAATCCCCAAAATGTTCCACTGTGGAGCACCCATGTTGTCGACTGCCTCGCGCGTCCGCCCTCCCCAACCTGTTGGCATCCCCACTCACACGCGGAGAATTCAGAGGCCTCAATGTGTCTAAAACGTATACAAACCTGTAGCAGATTGATTGTGAGATGTCCAACCCAAATCAAAAAAAATGCTCACATAATTGGATTGCCCCGTATTCGTCTATAGATGATTTCAAATCCTCGGCGTGTTTGTTATCCTCCTGCGTCTTCTTGGATCATCTCAGGAAGCTGCTGAACACATAACCTGGCCTTTGACATCTGGAGAGACGTGTCAGTGACACGACCCACACCATCACAGGATCCCTTCCAAAAATAGGCCCAATGGCCGGCCCAAGCCGCAAACACGCGAAACAAAGACCAGCCCCCTACCATCCACAGCTGCTGCTCCTCCTCTCCATCTTCGAAATCCACCGAACGCCGCTTGACGCCGGGCCACGACCAGGACGGTCGCCGAACGATGGGCGCGCGCTGCGCCACGGACACCAGCCGCTCCAGGCAGTCCTCCTGGCAGTGAGGAACCACAGCGGTTCCTCCGGTGAAACAAGTGTCTTGGGATGGCAAAGTTTCAAAGGAGTAGCGATATGTTCATTATATAGATGTTTCTGTACGGATACCACCTGTAAAGTATGGAAGACTTCTACACGGCATGAGGTGAAACGCATTGACAGGCATCTATGAGTTACCATATTCTACAGTTGCTTCAGCGTTTTCAATGTATCCTTTAATGAGTTCCACGCTATTTGCTCTTGTTCTACTTGTTCGAGGGTTTACGTTTAAAAAATCTGACAGGCAATGGAGCAATTGCCATACAGTACATTGCCAACAACCGCTGGAAATGGAGAGGCCTCACAATATCCAGAACTCGAGGTTCCAAGGAATACCGGAGGATTCAGCATCTTACTTCCAAACAAGTAGGGCACAAACAGAAAACAATTGACATGACATGACTAGTAGATTCACAAGTAATCAAGAATACTGAATACGCTTGAACCGTTTTGAACGCTTTGTACGCGTCTCTTCCAGCCCCAGCCTCGTACCAATTGTACAATCAGACACACACACACAAACCATTGAGCAGGCTCAAGGTTAGTTCATACCAATTCTGAGGTAGCGCTGAGTGTTGTTTCTGATCCAATCCTCACCACCGGACGGTCTCGTCTGTGAGGACTCGCAACGACATCACTTCCTCGCCACTCGCTTCCTCGCCCGTCGTGTCGCTCCTTGAGCTCTGGGTCCAAGGTTTTGCTCATGGCCACCCGGTCACGCAAGTGCTCCGGATCCGTCTCCTCATGATGTGGCCGCGCCGCGCCGCGCGCGGAGACCGAGGAGACTGGAGAGCGCAGGAGCGAAAACCCATCCTTTTTCATGGAAAACGACCTGCAAAACATGCTTCTACCATCTGCTTGATCGGGTGAAGTGGGTGTGTGTGAAATATCGGATGACTGGGATGAGTTGCAGGACTAGGAGCCATGTGATAAGTCCTGAAAGCCTTCCATGTTCTCTTTGAACACTGTTCAATAGGAATCCACCCAATCTCAAAGGTGATAAGTGATAAGGTGGGTTTCTTGAATCTGCCACGTGAGTGAACCCCAAGTTGGTCCCTCCGGTCGTTGGGAACTCAACGCTTCGATTTGGTCGACGGTCTTTCCGGCGCCGGAGATTGGATAGAACAGCGCACGTTCGCTCTCGGACGACTTGACGAATGGTCAGGAACTCTTACTCCACCCCTGAAGCATGGAATCCATGGAAAACGACATGGGTACGCATCCGCGTCGATGCGTACGCCGGAACACACCGGAACGCTCGGGCACGTCGGCTCTGCACGAATCACATACCCGATGCCCATCAGTTCTGATGGTGATGCTCTCTGCCTGTGAGTCGGTGATCTCTGCCTGCATAAAAGTGCCTGGATCCCCAAATAAAAACAGTGACGACCTAGAAAGCCCGGAGCACAGTATATAATAAATGAACAATAGTGAAATATAGTCAATAAAAAGTACGGAGAAAAGTGCAACCATGCAATTGGGAGCATTGGAATGCATAGGATGCTTAGATCAGAGGCATTTGGACCCTTTTGAACGGATTTGAGGCTTGCAACATACCAAGAACATTTAAATAATAAGAGTAAAAATAGATTTAAAAAATAAACGTCCAACTCGAAACCGTCTAAAACCATCAACCGTCATCAGCTCAACCACCCACCAAGAACATAAACTTTACCGTAACATAGCGTAACTTAATCGACTTAATTATATCAACTGTTCTCAACTGTTCTCAACACGTTCAGAAGCGGAAAAAAAATACCCCCATCCAGCCGGCGCCGGTCACCACGGCACACAAAC